GCAGAGATTTGCTTGAACCCAGGAGGCGGAGGTTGCGGTGAGCCAAGTTCGCACCTCTGTACTCCCGCCTGGGTGACAGAGACTGTCTAAAAAAAAAAGAACTTGAGTACAGGTGCCAGATCCACTCTGGCCTTGAATTCCAACTCTATTCTTAATTGGCTGGATGACCTTAAGCGAGTTACTTTACCTCTTTAAGATTCCGTTTTCTCATCTATAAAATAGAGATAAAATTCATACCTATGGCTTACGATAAAGATGAAGATTGAAAGTTAATATTCCATTTAGGCTAACTACTGTGGCTCACACCTGTAATCCCAGCATTTTGAGAAGCTGAGGCAGGCAGATCACTTGAGCCCAAGAGTTTGACACCAGCCTGGGTAACATGGGGAAACCCCGTCTCTACAAAAACAACAATAACAACAAAAACAAGACAAACCGAAATTAGTCAGGCATGTGGCACGTGCCGGCAGTCTCAATTATTTGGGGCTGAGGTGGGAGGATAACTTGAACCCAGGAGGTCAAGGCTACAGAAAGCCACGATAGGGCCAGTGTACTGCAGCCTGGGGGACAGAAAATGATACTGTCTGAAAACAATAAAAATAATAAGTAAATAAATATGACACTGGCCGGGCATGGTGGCTCACACCTGTAATTCCAGCACTTTGGGAGGCTAAGGCAGGTGGATCCCTTGAGGTCGGGAGCTCCAGACCAGCCTGGCAAACATGGTGAAACCCCGTCTCTACTAAAAATACAAAAAAAAAAATTAGCTGGGTGTGGTGGTGCGCACCTGTAAACCCAGCTACTTGGGAGAATGTAGCAGAAGAATCACTGGAGCCCAGGAGGCAGAGGTTGAAGTGAGCCAAGATCGATGCATTGCACTCCAGCCTGGATGACAGAGCAAGACTCCATCTCAAAAAAAAAAAAAAAAAAAAAAAATTAAAATTGAAAAAATAAAATAAAAATGATATTTATATAAAGCATAGTATGTGGAAAGTTCTCAATGAATTTTAGGTCTTACTAGCTCCAATTTGCAGCTGAGGAGGCTATGACTTAAAAGACAAATACTTAGGCCCAGTTTCGATGGCTCATGCCTGCAATCCCAGCATCTTAGAAGGCCAAAGCCAGGAGATTGCTTGAGGCCAGGAGTTTGAGACCAGCCTAGGCAATATAGAGAGACCCTGTCTCTACATTTTATTTTTTTTTAATTAGCAGGGCATGGTGGCACGCACCTGTAGTCCAACTACTTGGGAGGCTGAGGTGGAAAGATTGCCTAAACCCAGGTGTTCAAGTTTGCAGTGAGCCATGATCATACCACTGCACTCCAGCCTGGACAACACAGCAAGACTCTATCTCTAAAAATAAACAAATAAGTAAACAAATTAACCAATAAATAATAAACACCTTACCCAAGATCACAGAACTAGTAAGTTCTGAATCTGAGATCTGAACCCATGTCTGTCTGCCTCCAAATTCCATGTTAGCCTCTATGTTCTTCTGCCTACCTGTACATCAAAGTTAAAGGCATAAGTCTCCTTCCATGTTGACAGTAATTCATTTGATTTTACGTTGAGACTTGGATCAATACACTTCAAATATTGATGGTATTCTTAGCCTCTAAATTTTTTCTACAAAATCGATATGATTACTTAAATGACTTACATAATAGGAAACGTTCAGAGAATAGCATTTTATATACTAAGAAACATAAAAGATACGCCTGTCATTACAAGTTCTATATAATGACATTATAGAAAGATTAGAAAATAGAGAACCACAAAAGAAAATTCGATCCCTGTTATTACTGCCACATCATGCAGTTGCTTTCATTTTTGCTTGTTCATTTCCAGCGCTAATCCACTAGCAGATATATTTTAGCAGAGTCGTAATCATTGCATACATTCCATTTTATATCCTGTTTGGGTTGATTGTTCTGGTGACCCCTTTATTTGCAATCTCTCATATAGTATATGAGGCACTTCCCACATTGCAGCCTAGAGAGAGGTAGTTCTTGGTGCCTTTGAGCAAGGAGTCAAGATTATCAGGGCAGTAGTGCCCCTTATGTTCCAGTTGGTTTCATGAGCAGCCTGAACTCATGCCTATAGAGAAGGAGAGGATGATGGACAAGTAATGGAGGAAAAAGCTCTTCACCTACCACCATAAAATATGGGGTTGGGTGGGCTGCGGGTGGGGGCAGACATTTTAGGGAACTGTGCAACAGAGCAACACAATTAGGACAGAAACGGTCTTCTTTCCTTGCTTCCCCACGGGTCACTGTGGGAAGTTGGCACGTGGGTGTACCCTCCTTGTGCAGTTGCCAGGCACAGAACCCAGGAGGTCTGTAAAGCAAACCTCTGTTTGGCCAAACGTACCAAACGATGGCAGAAATCTGTTGCTCGGCGGGGCGCGGTGGCTCAAGCCTGTAATCCCAGCACTTTGGGAGGCCGTGGCGGGTGGATCACGAGGTCAAGATATCGAGACCATCCTGGTCAACATGGTGAAACCCCGTCTCTACTAAAAATACAAAAAATTAGCTGGGCATGGTGGCGCGTGCCTGTAATCCCAGCTACTCAGGAGGCTGAGGCAGGAGAATTGCCTGAACCCGGGAGGCGGAGGTTGCGGTGAGCCGAGATCTCGCCATTGCACTCCAGCCTGGGTAACAAGAGCGAAACTCCATCTCAAAAAATAAAAAATAAAAAAATAAGAAAAAATAAAAAGAAATCTGTTGCTCCCAAATATTCCATTTTGGCATAGGGATTATTTTGAGCTGAAGGCACTTGAAAATAGCAGAAGCACATGAGGATGCAAAGGCATCTTTTATCATCTTCCTGCCTATTTTTCTGACCCTGTGGAAACAAGCTGAGGACCGGAGTATTTTTTATTTTATTTTATTTTATTTTTTTATTGCATTTTAGGCTCTGGGGTACATGTGAAGAACATGCTTGATTGTTGCATAGGCACACACATGGCAGTGTGATTCGCTGCCTTCCTTCCCCTCACCTATGTCTGTCATTTCTCCCCATGCTATCTCTCCCCACCTCCGCACCCCCCAGTCCCTCCCCCGTTTCCCCGCAACGGACCCCAGTGTGTAGTGCTCCCCTCCCCGTGTCCATGTGTTCTCGTTGTTCAACACCCGCCTATGAGTGAGAACATGCGGTGTTTGATTTTCTGCTCTTGTGTCAGTTTGTTGAGAATGATGGTTTCCAGGTTCATCCATGTCCCTACAAAGGACACGAACTCATCATTTTTGATGGCTGCACAATATTCCATGGTGTGTATGTACCACACTTTCCCTGTCCAGTCTATCATCGATGGGCATTTGGGTTGGTTCCAGGTCTTTGCTATTGTAAGCAGTGCTGCAATGAACATTCGTGTGCACGTGTCCTTACAGTAGAATGATTTATAATCCTTTGGATATATACCCAGTAATGGGATCGCTGGGTCAAATGGGATTTCTATTTTTAGGTCATTGAGGAATCACCACACTGTCTTCCACAATGGTTGAACTAATTTACACTCCCACCAACAGTGTAAAAGTGTTCCTATTTCTCCACACCCTCTCCAGCATCTGTTGTCTCCAGATTTTTTAATGGTCGCCATTCTAACTGGTGTGAGACGGTATCTCAGTGTGGTTTTGATTTGCATTTCTCTAATGAACAGTGATGCTGAGCATTTTTTCATATGTTTGTTGGCCTCCTGTATGTCTTCCTTTGTAAAGTATTTGTTCATATTCTTCGCCCACTTTTGAATGGGCTTGTTTTTTTCTTGTAGATCTGTTTTAGTTCTTTGTAAATTCTGGATATCAGCCCCTTGTCCGATGGGTAGACTGCGAAATTTTTTCCCATTCTGTTGGTTGCTAATTCACTCTAATGACTGTTTCTTTTGCCGTGCAGAAGCTGTGGAGTTTGATTAGGTCCCATTTGTCTATTTTGGCTTTTGTTACCATTGCTTTTGGCGTTTTGGTCATGAAGTCCTTGCCTACGCCTATGTCCTGAATGGTTTTGCCTAGATTTTCTTCTAGGGTTTTCATGGTGTTAGGACCACAGTATTAATGAAATGTTATTGCAGAAGAGATTCTGAGAAAATTGGTATATACTGAAAATACCATAGAAAATCTTCTTGTAATGTAAAAAATGCAGTTTTGCTATGCTTGAACCTTAAGAATTTAAGTGAATATGAAAGAGATTGGAGAAAAGAAAATAACTCTGAATCTTAAAATGTTTTCTACTTGAAAAAAATTACAATTGAGAAATAAAATCTTTAGTTAAATGTATACATAACAGTCAAAATAGAATAAGATAAAAGGAGTAGTAAAGTTTAAACAGTATTCCATCTTTCTAATATATACCATTTCTCTCAACAGTTTGAGTTTAAAAAAATAGGAAAATCTGACTTTGGAAGTATTTCTCTGGCAAAACACTTTGGTTCTTGGCAACTTTTTGCTGACTGAGTGACCTGCTCCCTGCACAGGGCCGTAAGAATCACTGGAGAGCTGAAGGTCTGGGGAGGCAGAGAGAGACGGCTGAGAAGTCAATCTCGCCCCGCTTTCATACACCTGGAAAGGAGAAGAGGAGCACTGCACGCTCCCAGTCCTGAGGAGGACAGGAAAATGCTGCCCCCACGGACACAGACGCCGACTGCGTGGGCTTTAAAACAGGAAGGAAAAATAATATTTTTATAAAGACAGAAGAAAATAGAAGCCACAAGGAAAAGTCCTTTGCTGGTTTATTATCCATATGTTTTTGTTCTCATTTTTTTCAGTGATAGCTCTAGGGCTTACAATATGCACAGCTTATCACAGTTAAATCATAGTATGTGACTTTGTGACTAACGCAAGAGCTTTACAATACACGCCCATTTTCTCTATTTCTAAAAATAAAATATTTCTATTCGTTATAAGCACCACAATACATAGTTTTCCTCCTTTAAAACATTAATTATCTTAGGAACGATTTCTAGCACAGTGGAGGAAGTTGTGCTCCCCCGTGGAGCACAGCACCACCATGTCGAAGGTTTCCTTTAAGATGACGCTGATGTTGGAAATGCGGCTGCTGTACAAAGTACTCAGTGTTCCTGCAAGTACACCTTTTACAGCAGTCTTAAAGCTTGCAGCAGAAGAATTTAAAGTTCCTGCTGCAACAAGTACAATGATTACCAATGATGGAATAGGAATAAATCCTGCACAGACTGCTGGAAATATTCTTCTAAAACATGATGCGGAACTGCGGATTATTCCTAGAGATCATCTTGGAAGTTGTTAATATCTGCTACTTGGAACATATGATTGCCTTTCAGAATAAGGTATTTTTTTGTGGTTGTAAAATTGGAATCAGACATTTAACATACTATGACAACACCAAGAGTCAATGAATAATGAAAAGTGATGCATCTGTCCCTTTTTGTTGTCTATACTCTTCACATGAAGAAGGAATGCATATAAATTAAGGGTACTACCGTCACAGGAAATTATACAGTCTTTGATTGCTGCCTCATAATACAAACAGGTAGTTCACTGGGGATAAATGAATTCCTCAGTTGTGTTAACTGGAAGCTTCTGATAATTTCAAAAGAACAATTTGGAACATTACAATTTACTGAATCTTACATATTCGTCTGAGTTAAAAATATGAAAAGAATTATGGATCCTGGATGGCAATTTTCTGGATAGCAGCTGATATGCAGACTCATAGTTTGATTTTTAATTAAATATATAGGTTATGATGAACTCAATAGACCTATCGGTGAACAGTTAAGTATATTAAATTTTTATCATTTGCTTTTTTAAATATTCAGACCTCATGTATTATATAAATTTCAATTTAATATCAACCAAAAAATTTAAAATTTAATCTAACCCTTATGTGTATAATTGATTTCCCATACCGGGTTTTAATGTTGAATTTGCATAATCCAGTACTTGGAATGGTGGGAATTCACAATACAGTAGAAGCATCCTTTTCTGAGTTATACATTCCTTTATCTTTTTTTTTTTTTTTTTTTTTTTTTTTTTTTTTTTTTTTTTTTGAGACGGAGTTTCGCTCTTGTTACCCAGGCTGGAGTGCAATGGCGTGATCTCGGCTCACCGCAACCTCCGCCTCCTGGGTTCAGGCAATTCTCCTGCCTCAGCCTCCTGAGTAGCTGGGATTACAGGCAGGCGCCACCATGCCCAGCTAATTTTTTTTGTATTTTTAGTAGAGACGGGGTTTCACCATGTTGACCAAGATGGTCTCTATCTCTTGACCTCGTGATCCACCCGCCTCGGCCTCCCAAAGTGCTGGGATCACAGGCTTGAGCCACCGCGCCTGGCCCTAAAAATCTCTTTTGATACAACTTTTTTTTTTTTTTTTTTTTTTTTTTGAGACGGAGTTTCGCTCTTGTTACCCAGGCTGGAGTGCAATGGCGCGATCTCGGCTCACCGCAACCTCCACCTCCTGGGCTCAGGCAATTCTCCTGCCTCAGCCTCCTAAGTAGCTGGGATTACAGGCACGCGCCACCACGCCCAGCTAGTTTTTTTGTATTTTTAGTAGAGACGGGGTTTCACATGTTGACCAGGATGGTCTCGATCTCTCGACCTCATGATCCACCCGCCTCGGCCTCCCAAAGTGCTGGGATTACAGGCTTGAGCCACTGCGCCCGGCCCTGATACAACTTTTAAAACAAGTATCTTCAAGAATTGGTGTTCTGAGGATAATATTTCTAAATAGTATTCAGGAAGATAATATTACTGCACAGAAGATCTGAAGATCAACAAAAGTTCAAGAAAATGAAGATCGGATGTGCTAATGAGTCATATTTATTGAAGACCTAACTTTTAAGGAAGTGTTAAGATTAGTCACCCAGGCCGGGCGCGGTGGCTCAAGCCTGTAATCCCAGCACTTTGGGAGGCCGAGGCGGGTGGATCACGAGGTCAAGAGATCGAGACCATCCTGGTCAATATGGTGAAACCCTGTCTCTACTAAAAATACAAAAAATTAGCTGGGCATGGTGGCGCGTGCCTGTAATCCCAGCTACTCAGGAGGCTGAGGCGGGAGAATTGCCTGAACCCAGGAGGCGGAGGTTGCGGTGAGCTGAGATCGCGCCATTGCACTCCAGCCTGGGTAACAAGAGCGAAACTCCCTCTCGTAAAAAAAAAAAAAAAAAAAAAAGATTAGTCACCCAAGTGAATAAGAAGCCAGAAAAGGAAAGATGGGGAAGCCCAGATCACCAGGCTTCTGTTAAGGAGGAAAGCAACAGAGGAAAACGGTGAAGGGGAACAGAAAGCTCTAGGATAGTGTTACAGGAAAGTTGACTGGATATACAAAACTGCAGAAGGAATATGTTGGGGAGAACTGAAAGGGAAACCAAGATTCTTAACATAGTCTTCAGTAGCAGAAAGCAATTAGAGAAAACAAAGTGTCTACTGGCCTTATCAACACGCAGACTTCAAAATACCCCTTATAAGAATCCAAAAAATGATGTGTGTAAGGGAAGATTTTATTTGCCCTTCCAGAAGAAAGCGGTATCTATGCAAATCTTGAAAGTTGAAATTAAAGCTCATAACGATACAGAATCAGTGCTTGACATGCTGTATTCTAAATGGTGAACTCTGGGAGCAGGGATTGCTTTCATTAAATACTTGCTGTAAAGTCTCTCTAAGACCAATTATTATCTTAGCCTGTTTCACTGTCTTCTCTATCATAGGCCTTAGGTTCATTGGGGAAACGAAATAGAAGAAAATTCAACAGACTCAGCATTTGAAGTGTGCCAATGGTAGTTGTTTATAAAGTTACCAGATATTCATGAATGTGACAAATGAACAGCAGGATTATGAATTATCAAAGGAAAAAATATTTGCTGAGGTGAAAAAATCTGATGTTTAAGGAAGTTTTTATTTTTATAAACAAAATCTGATGTTCAAAGCTCTCTGTTTCTTACAATTAATATTGAGTTTTAGTTAACCAGAAATTTATGAACACCCATTTCCGGACTTTTTGCTTTAATTTAGACTTTTCTCCACTCTGTTTCCAGCACAAAAGTTTGCCTGCTGTGCTGCAGAAATAAATTTATGCTGTCCTGCGCTGTAAGGTGATATATATTTTTATTCTTTGGTTTTGAAAATTATATTGTAAGCTCCTAAAAACCTTTTGTTAAACAACTTGACATTCTGTAGTTAAATGAATGTGATCTGCAATTTCTTTGTGCAGAATGAAGTATTGCATTTAGTTTACATGCATTATGGGTTCATAGTTCATATCTAATGAAAATACATTTTGTTATGCTATAAAAAAAGAATAATTTTAACAGTGAAAAAGAGAATTTTTTATATTTAAGTATTTACGATCTTCTGTGCTTTTCATTCTTTTTGTAGATCTGAGTTTCATCCGGGTATGATTTTCTTTCCACCTAAAGAACTTCCTTTAATATTTTTTCATAAGAAAGATTGGCTGGTGACAGATTCCTTAGATTTTCTTTTTTTCTTTTGTCTGGAGTGATTATTTTGCCTCCGTTTAGGTAGGTCCTTTTTTTGGTGGTTGTTACAGGATCCTAGGTTGACAGTCTTTTAGCACTTTACAGATGCATGGTTCTGGATTTGATATCGGTTTGAGGAAACGAGCTGTAAACAATATGTTTAAAAAAAAATGGAGAAGCTGGAATATGAGAATAGGAAGATTTACTGAAGTGAAAAGGTGGTCATTGAAAGAAAGTGGATTATGAAACAGTATGAACATTATGACTGCATTTCAACAAACGTGCGTTACATACGCGTACGTGTAACACATATGAACGTGAATCATACATACATTGTATATGCATGCTGTAATCCGTTTTATTTTCTCACGATCAGTCCAGCGCGAACCGCGGCTCCCACCCTTGGGCCAGTCCACAGGAGTCGAAACGGCCTCAGGCAGCGCCGCCAGGCTGGCAGCGCGGAGCCCGGCCCAGGCCGGGGGAGCTGGCCAAAGAGAGGGGATCACGAAATCCGAATACTCGGACCGAGCCCCGGCAGGTGCCAAGGGCTGCGGCGGGGCAGAAGAGCAGAACGCCGGCTGGTTTTGCTCCCGTCTCGAGCAGCGTGACGGTTACCGGGGTTGACAGGGCACAGCGCGCCTGCCCACAGTCCGCGGAGCCTGCCCCGGCCTCGGGCTCCAGAAACCCAGCCAGGAACCACGCGCGGCCCGACGTGCACACCTGCCGCATTTTGGCAAGGGGTCGGGGGTCTGGAACAGAAGCGGAGGCCCAGATGCTTGCCCCGGTCTCCAAGAGCCACTTTCTGGGGCGATGCGGAGAGAAGCCCAGCTTGGAGTCTGGGCAGCTGGAGCGGATTGGAAGGGCAACGCTCTGGAGAGCTCAGCTGGACCCTCCAAGGAAGGGTCCCGGGAAGGTGGGCCCGCAGGCGCCGGGAGGCGAGAGGGTACCGGAGGGAACCGGCCTACCCCCTAGGCGGCGTGGCCTCTTCTGTCTGTCTTCACAATCTTTATTCTTTGTTGTATTGTCATTCGGAGAGATGAATAGACAGATGATGGACAGGGAGGGAGCGCGGAGACGGGGAAAGAGCGGGAGAAAGACGGTGGGAAAACCCACCCCCAGATCCCCCAAACTGAGAACCATCTGGAAACAATCAGGAAGTTGGAAGCTTCCAGACAATTTAACGCGGCAAAGCGTTCGCGGGCTTAGCAGGCCCTCCCACTGGCGCGTGCGTCCTGGCGCGGGCGGGCCCGAGTTGGCGCCAGCCCCTGGTGTGTAAGCAGCGGCCCTCGGAGCCTCCAGGGAGACAGGACGCGCGCTTCGGACGCGCTGGAGCTGCAGAGATCAGAGCGGGTCCCTGCTCCTAGCCGGGGACCGCGGAGCTCGCGTTTCTGCCGGTGCTTCGGGATCTAGTCCAGCCGAATCCCTGTCGGGCTGTAACTCGGATGCCAGGTTAGAGAAGAGAGCGGCGCCCGCCGCACTCCCATGCTCCCCAGTCAGGAGTTGGGCTGTTGGAGGGTAGGGAGAGGCTGGCGTGGGGTGGAGGCGGGTGTCTGTGCTTTTCTCTTCTGCCTGGGAGCCCAGCTGGTTTGCTCAGCAAGTTCCCTGAAAAGCCGGCTATGGAGGACTGGGTGGTGGGACGGGGGTGGGTGATGGGGGCTGGAAGGCACTGGGGGCGTCGGGGGCCTGACCTGTGCGCCTGCTTCCGCTGTGAGCTGGAAGAGCCTCTAGCCAGCGAGCCGCGCTTTAGGACCTGAAACCTGGGAGGCCACTGGGTCAAGTGCACCTTGGTGGCTCCAAGGGCTGAAGGTCTCGGGTTTCGGAATTGTAGACTTGAGAAACTAGTTCTACAGGTGTCTGCATGAGTGACCAACCACTGTAAATTATTGTCCTGAATATAAGCGCTAATAAAGCAAAATTAGAATTGTCATTACCCTGTGGGGAGGTTTATAATCTAGAGAGGGGAGAAATGAGAAAAACGTCTCCCTCTGGACAAGATCTGTAGACTACACGTGCTACCTGAGAAGGACAAAGAGCTCTATGTTTTAGTTTTACAAAAGGGCATGTCTGCCGCAGCCCACTGCTCTTTCTTTTCTTTTTTTAAATTAACTTTTAATTTCTGTGGGTACATAGTAGGTGTATATGTTTATGGGTTATATGAGATATTTTAATACATCTCATGTAACCCATAATAATGTTTAATGTAATGTTCAATAATTACATCAGGGTAAATGGGATATCCATCACCTCCAGCACTTATTCTTTTTGTTACCAACAATCTGATTATGCTCTTTAGTTATTTTATTTTATTTTTGTAGGTACATAGTGGATGTGTATATATATGGGGTACATGAGATGTTTTGATATAGACATAGCAATGTGAAATAAGCACATCACAGAGAATGAGGTATCCATACCCTCAAGCATTCATCTTTTGAGCTGCAAACAATCCAGTTACACTCGTTATTTTAAAATGTACAAACTAAGTTATTTTTGACTGTAATCACCCTGTTGTGCTATCAAATAGTATGTCTTATTCATTCTTTCTAAAATTTTTTGTACCCATTAGCCCTCCCCACCTCACCCCTTCCCTTCCACCACCCTCCTTAGGTAACCATCCTTTTACCCTTAGAACACAATTGTTTTGATTTTTAGATGCCACAAATAAGTGAGAACATGCAATGGTTGTCTTTCTGTGCCTGGCTTGTTTCACTTAACAGTAATGATCTCCAGTCATTCATGTTGTTGCAAATTATTGGATCTCATTTTATTCTATGGCTAAATAGTACTCCACTATGTATATGCACATCATTTTCTTTATTCACCTGTTGATGGATGCTTAGGGTGCTTCCAAATCTTACTATTGTAAACGGTGCTGCAAGAAACACAGGACTGCAGATAGCTCTTGGATATACCGTTTTTCTTTCTTTTGGGTCAATACTTAAGAGTAGAATGGCTGGATTGTGTGGTAGCTCTATTTTTAGTTTTCCGAGGAAGCTCCAAACTGTTCTTCATAATAGTTGTACTAAGTTACATTCCCACCAACATTGCATGAGGGTTCCCTTTTCCTCACATCCTCGCCAGCATTTTTTATTGCCTGTCTGTTGGATAAAAGCCATTTTAACTTGGGTGAGATTATATCTCATTGTAGTTTGGATTTGCATTTTTCTGATGATCAATGATGTTGAGCACCTTTTCACGTTGTCTGTCTGCCATTTTTCTTCTTTTCAGAAATGTCTGTTTAAATCTTTTGCCCATTTTCAGTAGGATTGTTATATTTTCCCCATAGAGTTGTTGGAGATTCTGATGTGTTCTGGTTATTAATCTTTTGCCAGATGGGCAGCTTGCAAATATTTCCTAGCATTTTTTGGGTCTTTTCACTTTGTTGATTGTGTTCTTTGCTGTGCTTTTAACTTGATGGGATTCTATTTGTCCACTTTTGCTTTAGGTTGCCTGTGCTTATAGGATATTGCTCAATGAATTTTTGCCCAGATCAGTGTCCTAGAGATCTTCCCCAATGTTTGCTTGTAGTAGTTTCACAGTGTGAGGTTTTAGATTTAAGTCTTTAGCCCATTTTGATTTGATTTTTATATGTGACAACAGATAGGAGTTTAGTTTTATTCTTCTGCATATGGATATCCAGTTTTCCCAGCACCATTTATTAAGGAGAATGTCTTTTCCCCAGTGTATATTCTTGGCACCTTCGTCAAAAGTGAGTTCACCATAGATGTGTGGATTTGTATCTGGGTTCTCTGTTCTGTTCCATTGTGTCTGTTTTTATGTCAGAATCAGGCCATTTTAGTTCATATAGCTCTGTAGTATAATTGGAAGTCAGGTAATGTGATTCCTCCAATTTTGTTCTTTTTGCTTAGGATAGCTTTGGCTATTATAGATGTTTTCTGGTTCTATATAAATTTTAGGATTTTTTTTTTCTATTTCTGTGAAGAATGTCATTGGTATTTTAATAGAGATTGCATTGAATCTGTAGATAGCTTTGGGAAGTATGGATATGTTAACAATATTGATTCTTCCAATTGATGAACATGGACTACCTTTCCATATTTTGGTGTCCTCTTCAATTTATTTCATCAGGATTTTATAGTTTTTATTGTAGAGATCTTTCATTTTTGGTTAATTCCTAGGTATTTAATTTTATTTGTGGCTATTTTAAGTGGAATCGCTTTTTAAAATTTCTTTTTCAGATTGTTCTCTGTTGGCATATAAAAATGCTATTGATTTTTGTGTGTTGATTTTGTATCCTGCAACTTTACTGAATTTATCAGTTCTAATAGTTATCTGGTGAAGTCTTTAGGTTTTTCCAAATATAAGATCTTATCACCTGCAAACAAGGATAATTTGACTTCTTTCTTTCCAATTTAGATGCCCTTTATTTCTTTCTATTGTCTAATTGCTCTAGCTAGGATTTCTATATTGAATAACAATGGTGAAAGTGAGCATCCTTATACTGTTCCAGATCTTAACGGAAAGGCTTTCAGCGTTTCCCCATTCAGTATGCTACTAAATGTAGGTCTGCCATACGTGGATTTTATTATGTTGTGGTATGTTTCTTCTATATTCAGTTATTGAGGAGTTTTTCATGAAGGGATAATGAGTTTTATCAAATGCTTTTTCAGCATCAGTTGAAATGATCATATGGCTTTTGTCCTTCATTCTGTCAATTTGATGTGTCAAATTGATTGATTTGCATATGTTGAACCATCTTTGCATCCCTGGGACAAATAATATTTAGTCATGATAAATGATTTATTATTATTTATTTATTTATTTGTATCATACTCTAAGTTCTGGGGTACATGTGAAGAACATGCCGGTTGTTACATAGGTATACAATTGCCATGGTGGTTGGCTGCATCCATCAACCCATTATCTACATTAGGTATTTCTCCTAATGCTAGTCCTCCTCTAGCCCCTAACCCCCGACAGTCCCCACTGTGTGATGTTTCCCTCCCTGTGTCTATGTGTTCTCGTTGCTCAACTCCCACTTATGAGTGAGAACAAGCAGTGTTTGGTTTTCTGTTCTTGTGTTAGTCTGCTGAGAATGATGGTTTCCAGCTTCATCCATGGCCCTGCAAAGGACATGAACTCATTCTTTTTTGTGGCTGCCTAGTATTCCATGGTGTATATGTGTCACATTTTCTTTAGCCAATCTATCATTGATGGGCATTTGTGTTGATTCCAAGTCTTTGCTATTGTGAACAGTGCTGCAATAAACATACATGTACATGTGTCTTTATAACAGAACAATTTATAATTCTTTGGATATATACCCAGTAATAGGATTGCTGGGTCAAATGGTATTTCTAGTTCTAGATCCTTGAGGAATTCCCACACTGTCTTCTATAATGGTTGAACTAATTTCCACTCCCACCAACAGTGTAAAAGCATTCCTATTTCTCCACATCCTCTCCAGCATCTGTTGTCTCCTGACTTTTTAATGATCATCATTCTAACTAGTGTGAGATGGTATCTCAATCGGGTTTTAATTTGCATTTCTCTAACGACCAGTGATGATGAGCGTTTTTTCATGTGTTTGTTGGCTGCATAAATGTCTCCTTTTGAGAAGTGTTTGTTCATATCCTTTGCCCACTTTTTGATGGGGTTGTTTGTTTTTTTTCCTGTAAATTTGTTTAAGTTCTTTGTAGATTCTGGAGATTAGCCCTTTGTCAGACGGGTAGACTGCAAAAATTTTCTCCCATTCTGTAGGTTGCCTCTTCATTCTGTTGATCGTTTCTTTTGCTGTGCAGAAGCTGTTTAGTTTCAATAGATCTCATTTGTCTGTTTTGGCTTTTGTTGCCATTGCTTTTGGTGTTTTAGTCATGAAGTGTTTGGCCATGCCTTTGTCCTGAATAGTGTATTGCCTAGGGTTTCTTCTAGGGTTATTATGGTTTTAGGACTTAGTTTAAATCTTTAATTCATCTTGAGTTAATTTTTGTATAAGGTGTAAGGAAGGCATCCAGTTTCAGCTTTCTGCATATGGCTAACCAGTTTTCCCAACACTGATAAATGACCTTTTTAATGTATTATTGAATTCAGTTTGCTAGTATTTTGCTGAGATACTGGCCTGTAGTTTTCTTTCTTTGATGTGTCTTTGGTTTTGGTATCAGTAATAGTGGCCTCATAGGATGAATTTGGAAGTATTCCCTCCTCCTCTATTTCTTGGAATAGTTTGAGTAAGATTGGCATCAGTTCTTCTTTAAATGTTTGGTAGAATTCACTGGTGAAGCCATTGGGTCCCAGGCTTTTCTTTGCTAGGAGACTTTTTATTATGGTTTCATTCTCATTACTTCTTACTGGTTTGCTCAGGTTTTGGATTTCTTCATGGTTCAATCTTGGTATGTTGTATGTGTCTAAGAATTTATTTATTTCCTCTAGATTTTCCAATTTATAGGCATACAGTTGCTTGTAGTAGCCACTAATGATCCTTTGAATTTCTGCAATATCCATTGTATTGTCGTCCTTTTTCATCTTTGATTTCATTTATTTGGGTATTCTTCTTTTTTTTCTTAAGTAGCCTGGCTAAAGGTTTGTCAATTTTGTTTATCTTTTCAAACAATCAACAGGTGGTGAAGCCAGCCAAGCTGTGTTATTTTTTTCAGAGTGGCAAGGCCCTGGGTGGGTTCACAGATGCTATCCAGGAGCCAGGGACTGGAGTAAAAAAGCTTAGAAGTCTTCCTGGTATTCCATTCTACTGTGGCTGAGCTGGCCTTCAAATCGTGAAAAACAGTCCTTCCCAATCTTTCCTCCTTTTTCCACAGGCAGAGGAGGCCACCCTGTGGCCATTACCACGATGGGTCCACAGGGAGTACTGCTAGCTATCGCTGATGTTCACTTAAGGCTCAAGGGCTCTTTCGTCAGCTTTTGGTGAATGCTGCTAGGTCTGGCACTCACGCTTCACGGTAGTGGACTCCCTTCTGGCCCAGGTGGGTCTAGAAATGCTGTCCAAGAGCCTACTTGGTGCTCTAACCCCTGTGGCTAAGCTGGCACCTAAGCTGCAAGATGAAGTCCCCTATACTTTTCCCCCTGCTTTTCTCAAGCAGAAGGAGTTTCTGCCTATAGGCACCACAGCTGGGATTGTGCTGAGTCTCACCTGAAGCCAGTAGAGTCTCACCCAAGACACACGGCATATTACCTGGATATTGCTGCTGATTATTCAGGGGCCAAGGAGATGCAAGACAGAGTCCACTTTACTCTTCCCTCTTCTCTCCTTTAGTAGAAGGAAGGAATCTTTGTGGAGCTGAGAGCTGCACTGCTGGGGGTTGGGGGAGGGATGATGCAAGTACTCTCTTAGTTGCCCCAGCTGGTATCTCAGTTGGTCACTGTAAGGCTGGTTGCCTTCGCCGGGAGTTCAAACACTCCCATCTCCCTCCCCACTTGAAAATTATGATATCAGAATATGCCCATCATCTAGCTCCGCCTTGGAAATTCCCTCTGCACTTGGCACCTAGCCTGCCTTGGAAATCCCCTCTGCACTCAGCATTGAGCCCACTCACCGGAAATCCCACCTACCTACCAACAGCAGCTCGCCCAGTCCACATCCTGTTTCTCCAAATCCAATCGAACACCTTCACACCCTATAAAACCCCACTCCTACGCTGGGCACGGTGGCTCAAGCCTGTAATCCCCGCACTTTGGGAGGCCGAGGCGTGAGGTCAAGAGATCGAGACCATCCTGGTCAACATGGTGAAACCCCGTCTCTACTAAAAATACAAAAAATCAGCTGGGCGTGGTGGCACGTGCCTGTAATCCCAGCTACTCAGGAGGCTGAGGCAGGAGAATTGCCTGAGCCCAGGAGGCGGAGGTTGCGGTGAGCCGAGATCGCGCCATTGCACTCCAGCCTGGGTAACAAGAGCGAAACTCCGTCTCAAAAAAAAAAAAGAACAAACAAACAAACAAACAAACAAAAAACCAAAACAAACAAACAAACAAAAAAACCCCACTCCTAAGAGGAGTCAGGCGCGACTTCTCTGACCTGTCTGCCCGGGACCACAGAACCTCGCCTGGGAGCTGAATAAATTGGCATCTAATTTTCTTGTGCTGGCCTCAGTTTCCTCGTTTTTTTTAACTCGGCAATAAACCTACAGAGAATAAACTTTACAGTCATGTGCCCTCCAAGTCTGCTGGCTCTGAGCACCACTCAGCACTAGGATTTGCCTAGGACTTGCAGTCCTTGTGGCCTAGATGCCTTTCATTTTATTTTTTTTAAATTTTTTAATTATTTTATTTTATTTTTGAGACGGAGTTTCGCTCTTGTTACCCAGGCTGGAGTGCAATGGCGCAATCTCGGCTCACCGCAACCTCCGCCCCCTGGGTTCAGGCAATTCTCCTGCCTCAGCCTCCCAAGTAGCTGGGATTACAGGCATGCACCACTATGTCCAGCTAATTTTTGTATTTTTAGTAGAGACAGGGTTTCACCATGTTGACCAGGATGGTCTCGATCTCTTGACCTCGTGATCCACCCGCCTCGGCCTCCCAAAGTGCTGGGATTACAGGCTTGAGCCACCGCGCCCGGCCTCAAGTTTATTTAGAGCTCCATAGCACTTCATCTCCGGTGGTGAGGGATGCTGGAACTCAGGTTTCAACTGCTGGGAGGGACAGTTTTCATCTCACTAGGGCTGGTCCAAATTCAGCCTCCATGGGCAGGTATAAGCTGGATTCAGCCTGGTTTTGCTTTTCATTGTAACAGGGCAGCACTGAGTTCAATGCAAAGTCTCACAATCGGCTGTGCTCTCCCTCCCCCAGGCACACAGATTTCTCTGCACCATGTGGTCACTGCTGGAGAAGGGGGATGGTGGGTGGAGGCTTCCACTACACCTTCTTACTCTGTCCTCCCATTTCCCTTTCTGTTCAGTTTCTGTCTGAGGCCAGGCAATCCCATGTGATCTAGGGGAGATGGCTGGGGGGATGGAAGGAAAGGGGAAGTGAAACAAAACAGAAAATTAAGAACGACCCAGAAGCATACAGAAAGTTAGGCGCTTCTAGACAATTTACCATTGCCAAGTTTTCCCAGGCTAAGTCTTCACCTTTGAGGGAGTTTGCTGAGCACACTAGGTAAGCCTCCCTGGCGGGGGAGAAATGCACAGATGCCACCCTCTCACACCCCTGCTTGGGGGTGGTTGTCCCTGCATGCCGCTGTCACAGTTACTGGTCCTTCAGGGCTCCTGCGGGAGTAGATTCTGGGGCATGGGGAGAAGTGGGGACAGCTAATAAATGGAAACCGCACAGCCAATAAATGGTAGCGCTGGGTTTGAACCTAGGAAGTCTGAGTCTTAGTCTTTGAACTCTGCTATGTTTGTCTACATAGGTTTCTGTATACGGAGTCTTCAGGACTAATTTTGGTGGAAAGAGATAGCAGGTGGTGCTAATTCACTGTGTTGGTGGGAACTCTGGCTACACTGAAAATTTTGAGAAAGTTATCCTGTAAACCTACTCGACTCAGGTGCTTTTATTTCTGAAGTTCTTTGGTAAGTGTCCTGAGTTTCTTTTCTGAATTCTCAATTTCTTATTGACTTAGTTTAATTTTATTTAGGGATTTCAAATTTATATGGGACAATATTTCTGCCTTATAAAGAATGTGCAGCCGGGCGCGGTGGCTCAAGCCTGTAATCCCAGCACTTTGGGAGGCTGAGGCGGGTGGATCACAAGGTCAAGAGGTCGAGACCATCCTGGTCAACTTGGTGAAACCCCGTCTCTACTAAAAATACAAAAAATTAGCTGGGCATGGTGGCGTGTGCCTGTAATCCCAGCTACTCAGGAGGCTGAGGCAGGAGAATTGCCTGAACCCAGGAGGCGGAGGTTGCGGTGAGCCGAGATCGTGCCATTGCACTCCAGCCTGGGTAACGAGCGAAACTCCGTCTCAAAAAAAAAAAAAAAAAAAAAAAAAAGAATGTGCAAGTCATGCTGATTATAATTCCTTTAATCCTGAGGAAAGAGCTAGGGATAAAGCTCCCTAACCCTTTTTTTTTTTTTTTTTTTTTTTGCCTGAAAAAGAATCTAAGCAGATGATGAGGCTGCTGTTTAAATACAGTTGCCAATAAAAAACTATCAGCAAAATTGGCTTTGACAACAAACTGTATGGGGCAGAGAAAATATTTAACTTTGAAATCCCTATACATCAAAAGGAATATTTTACAAATAACCTGACAAAGATGTTTCAGTGGTCTTGGAATGTAGAATGGGATTTTGAGAAACAGAAATCTATAGGCAAGGGTCTAAACCAGGCAAGGTGGCCTTCTTCTTGTTTTTTTTTTTGTTTTGTTTTTGTTTTTTTTTTTTTTGAGACAGGTTCTTACTTTGACCTCCAGGCTGGAGTGCAGTGGCACCATCTTATTCACCACGGTCTCGTCTCCATGGCTCAGGCGATGCTCCCACCTTAGCCTCTTGAGTAGCTGGGACCACCAGTGAGCACCACCACATCTGCTTAATTTTCGTATTTTTTGGAGACCGGATTTCACCGTGTTGCCCAGCCTGTTCTTAAACTCCTAGGCTCAAGTGATCTGCCCGCCTCAGCCTCCCAAAGTGCTGGGATTACAGGCTTGAGCCACCGAAGCCAGCCCAGCCTTCACTTTTATCTAACAAATTTTTTCTAAATGTCTTCACACCTCAGTCATCTCATTCCTTCTGTCACCTGCATCAACATCCACCTTATCTGTCCAGAGTTACTAGCACCCACTGAGACCTGTAATTGCAAGCCTTTAATATAGGATGGATTTTTGTAGGAAAGGAAAATAAGGTTGTGATAGTCTGCCTCTACGTATTGTATATATCCCTGATGGCTTCAAAATAGGTTTTGAATTTACTGATTGTTTTAAATTTTATTTTGTTTTAATAATTTCCCAATAATGATGCAAGGTATTTGTTGATTGTATTGACGTTTAAAATTTTTCTTTGTTTTAAAAATAATTTTCAAATAACAATGTGAAGTATTTGTTGATTGTGTTTTTTAAATTTCGTTTTTTAATGCCAAGATAAGAAACAATTTATTATATAGAGAAAAAAATTTCTTATCCAAAATATAGAAATCTGTACAACTTTGCCATAATTAATATACATGAACTGTACAAATTTACACCAGTTCATAATTTGCCAAATAAAAGATGACTAACAAAGTTCACAAAATAGATGGTGGTTTGTGGAAAATACTTTTACCCAATTAAATACAAGGAAGGTTACAAACCAGACCTCCACTTCTAAAAATAAATTAGTTTACTCAGTCTTAGAAAACTACAAGCTAGCAAATGTACAGAGAGCTGGCTGGTGCTAACACCACATTAAGACAGTGTCTCTTTTTTTTAAAAACAGTGTCTTTTTAGAAGCCTGTTGTCATGGCAGATTCTGGTCACTTGCTATTTTCAAGGCCCAAAACACAATACAAGGTCTGACCATTTCCCCAGGTCTGTCCTATTTGTCTTAGAGTGCATAGTCCAGGTTTTAGTGACTTCCTTGATAAAATCCTGGAGTCCAGCTTTTTAAAAAAGTTGGGATAATTGAGAATTCCAGAAATGCAAAGAGAAGAAAACAACAAAAATTTACGTCCCACCCACCTCTGAGATGTATTTGGTTCAGGTGCTTTTTCTTCTGAACTCGCAGCATTGTATATGCGGTTAAAGGCTTCTTACTTTTCTAATCTCATTGTTTTCCATCCTTATTTGTAACCTCTGTAAGAAAAAATGTACATCTTTTTTACTATGTTTTTCTCCTTTTACTAAACACAAACATTTATTATAGTTTTTAGAATATTTTATCTAAATACGATTGTATATTATTTCCTGCAAACCTGCTTTTTAAATTTATCATCACACTTTGTGAGTTTATCTATATTTATACTTGAGGATATGATTTATTTTATCTGCTGTATTAATCTTTCATTGTAAGTTTTTTCCTGTGTCAAATATCTATCTTGTTCATTATAATGTCTGTTTCAAACTGCCTCAATTCTATTATTAAAATGTTTTTGGCAGGCCGGGCGTGGTGGCTCATGCCTGTAATCCTAGCACTTTGGGAGGCTGAGGTGTGTGGATCACCTGAGGTCAGGAGTTCAAAACCAGCCTGGCCATCATGGTGAAACCCCATCTTTTAAAAATAAATAAATAAATAAAATGTTTTTGGCAGCTGGGCATTGTGGCTCATCCTATAATCCCCAGTGCTTTGGGAGACCAAGGCAGGAGAATTGCTTGAGCCCAGGACTTTGAGACCAGCCTGGGAACATGGGGAGACACTCATCTCTTCCCAAAAAAATTTTTTTTTTCTTTTTTTTTTTTGAGACGGAGTTTCGCTCTTGTTACCCAGGCTGGAGTGCAATGGCGCGATCTCGGCTCACCGCAACCTCCACCTCCTGGGTTCAGGCAATTCTCCTGCCTCAGCCTCCTGAGTAGCTGGGATTACAGGCACGCGCCACCATGCCCAGCTAATTTTTTTTGTATTTTTAGTAGAGACGGGGTTTCACCATGTTGACCAGGATGGTCTCGATCTCTCGACCTCGTGATCCACCCGCCTCGGCCTCCCAAAGTGCTGGGATTACATGCTTGAGCCACCGCGCCCGGCCTTTTTTTTCTTTTTAAAGAATTAGCTGGGCATAGTGGCTGTGTGCCTGTAGTCCCAGCTACTCAGGAGGTTGAGGTGGGAGGATCGCTTGAGCCCCAGAGTTTGCAGTGAGCTGTGACTGCACTCTATCCTGGACGACAGAGTGAAACCCCGTCTCAGGTACACAAAACGTTTTTGTCCTGTTTTTATACCAAGTACCTCTGTCTCAGGGGGTGACTTTATTTCCTATCTCAAACAGAAAAGTGAAGCTATCAGAAGGGGACTCTTTCAGCTTCCTCCCAGCAAAGTGATAAGCCCACCTTCACCCATGCACATTATCTCCTTTTCTCCTCCTCCTGACCACCTTCTGCATCCTGGATCATATTTCCTCCTTACCTTTCTTTTCAGGGCCTTTACTGTGTCTACATCTTTAAATTTTCACTACCCTACTGGCTTCTTGCCATTGAAGTATTTTCAGGCCTTTCCCATCTTAATAAAATGCTTTAACTTCCTCCTGCTACATGTCTTTTTACCTCTCTCCTTTATAGCTTGATATAGTGAACAAGTTGTGTATATTTAGTGATACTATTTCCTTACCTCCCATTCATTCTTTGACTCATTGTGAAAAGGACGATTCATATAGGTTCCTTTACTGAACACCTGTGAACCAAAGCATGGTGTTAAATCCTTTTTGTAAATTATTCTCAATTAATTCTCATAACAGGCATATTAAGGCAGATGTACTATGTTTTATAGGTAAGAAAACAGAGTTAGAAGGATTGAATATCTAGGTTAATATCATATTACTTTTAATGACAAGTGGAATTCAAGCCATATCCATTAACACTAGTCGCTAAGACCTTAGCCCCTAGTGTATGGCCTCCGGGTACCCACTGCCCAGGTTCTGAACAGTATTTTTTTTTTTTTTTTTTTTTGAGACGGAGTTTCGCTCTTGTTACCCCAGGCTGGAGTGCAATGGCGCGATCTCGGCTCACCGCAACCTCCGCCTCCTGGGTCAGGCAATTCTCCTGCCTCAGCCTCCTGAGTAGCTGGGATTACAGGCACGCGCCACCATGCCCAGATAATTTTTTGTATTTTTAGTAGAGACGGGGTTTCACCGTGTTGACCGGGATGGTCTCGATCTCTTGACCTCGTGATCCACCCGCCTTGGCCTCCCAAAGTGCTGGGATTACAGGCTGAGCCACCGCGCCCGGCCCTGAACAGTATTTTTTAAAGTCACCCATAACCTTAATTTTATTAAACCTAATAACACTTTCCAGTCAATACCTAGCTGTACCTGTCAGCAGTATGAGACACCTTGGCTCTGTCACTCCCTGCCTTTGCAGCCTCAGTTCTTCATTCTGTCATAGATCCGAGGCCTCTGTGCAGGCGACTTTGTTCTGGGCTTCCTTAATATCACATACCCTTGGTTTTTCTCCTACCTCTGGTTTTTCACAATCAATCCTCTCTGCAGTCTTTTTTTCAATGTTGTCTTCTTTTACTCATCCCCTAAAGTTGTTGTTCATTGGAACATCGACAATCAAAACTGAGATAATCTCATGCCACAGTACACGTGCCCTTTATGTGATCCACTGCTTCCATTCTTCAATGCTGATAACTTCACCTGGACAATTCCAATGCATTCTTTAGGTCTTGATTAAATGTTACCTCTGCCTTGGAAGTCTTGTTGACCCATAATCTCCAGACTAGTTTAGATGTGCCTTTGGTATATTTTTCCTCTTAGAGCCCACATCATACATGATGTTAAATACTGATTTCATCAGCACTCTTTCCTGCCAGCCAGTCTCCTCCTAAAGAGAAGGGATTGCTCTTGTCTTGCTTGCTAGTCTATTGCCTTCATCTCAGCACATATTAGACACAGAATAAATATCCTTTTAATAAATTAATTGCATGCCTGTAACAATCCATTTCTTCTGATAGTTTCAGCTGTGAGTTCAACATGGAGGCAAACCAGTGCTCCCTGCTGGTGGAACCATCTTACCCAGACCTGGTCATCAATGTAGGAGAAGTGACTCTTGGAGAAGAAAACAGAAAAAAGCTGCAGAAAATTCAGAGACAACAAGAGAAGGAGCGAGTTCTCTGGGCTGCGTGTGCTTTATTAAACTCAGGAGGAGGAGTGATTCGGATGGCCAAGAAGGATGAGCATCCCGTGGAGATGGGGCAGGATTTAGAACAGTCTTTGAGAGACCTTATTCAGTCCTCAGATTTCCAGGCTTTTTTTGAGACCAGGCAACAAGGAAGATGTTTTTACATTTTTGTTAAATCTTGGAGCAGTGACCCATTCCCTGAAGATGGCTCTGTGAAGCCCCGCCTTTGCAGCCTCACTTCTTCATTATACTGTAGATCTGAAACCTCTGTGCTTCTCATGGATTCAAGAGAAGCATTCTATTTCCTGAAGACCAAGAAAAAGAATGCAAAAACCTTGGAAGAAGGACCTTGTCACAAAGTTCCCAAGGTTATACACCAAGAGTTCCCTAATACGCATCCTGCTGACCCAGTTTTCCAAAAAGACTATCTTGAATATGGTGAAATCCTGCCTTTTCCTGAGTCTCAATTAGTAGAGTTTAAACAGTTCTCTACAAAACACATCCAAGAATATGTAAAAAGCATAATTCCAGAATACATCCCGGCATTTGCAAACACCAGGGGAGGATATCTTTTTATTGGAGTGGCTGATAAGAGTAGGAAAGTCCTGGGATGTGCAAAAGAAAATGTCGATCCTGACTCTTTGAGACGGAAAATAGAAAAAGCAATATACAAATTACCTTGTGTTCATTTTTGCCAACGCCAATGCCAGATAAGCTTCACACTCAAAATCGTGGATGTGTTAGCTAGGGGAGAGCTATATGGCTATGCTTGTATGATCAAAGTAGAGCCATTCTGCTGTGCTGTGTTCTCAGAAGCTCCCAAGTCATGGATAGTGAAGGACAAGTGCATCTGCAGCCTGACAACTGAGAAATGGGTAGGGATGATGACAGACACAGATCCAGGTAAGTGGGAGAAAGCCCCTCCTTCCCTGGCCTTTCTACATCCTTGGCACCTCCCATGTTCAATTTTCCTTTGCTGCCTATGACTTTGACCATCATATATCCACTGAACACTTTATTTTGAATGCCCGAAATATCCTACTTTTCACACATGAGAACATTTTGTTGGGTGATTAGAAACCTAACTCACGTGTCTTATAAGTGACAACTTTCTACCTCAGTAACTGAACAGAAAATTATTTGAGAATGTCCACCCTTGCAGTGATGTACTGGAATGACTCTTACTGGCTTTAGGATCAATTATTAAATTTTCAGGAATTCTTGAGGTAGTTGTGAAACATAGCTATTACTAAAAATTAGGTTACATATACTTGTACCTAAATAAATTATATCAGAAACAAATGTAATAAATTAAAACTCACCACTTCTTAATTATTTGCTATATTTTGCTATTATCTTTGCTTGAGAGATTATTTACCTCTATTGTATTTATGTGGTGGGAATATTATAAAATGGAGTGCTATGGGGCATTGCTTTCCAACTCTGTATTTAGTGATGATCACATTAGGAGCTTGAAATTGTCCATGGTAGGAAGATTTATAACATAGAAACTGGCAGTTGGCTACGAACGAGGGATGTCTTCCCGATTAGGCCTGTTTAGTAAACCATCACCAGCATAGTACTGCTTTCTGGGGTTGCTTGTTTGAAGTATTAAAAGTCCTTTGGGCTGGGCTTGGTGGCTCACGCCTCTAATCTCAGCATTTTGGAAGGCTGAGGTGGGCGGATCACCTGAGCAGGAGTTCAAGACCAACATGGCGAAACCCTATATCTACTAAAACTATAAAAATTAGTCGAGCATGGTGGTGCGCACCTGTGGTCCCAGCTACTTGGGGGTGCTGCGTCAGGAGACTCGCTTGAACCTAGGAGGAGGAAGTTGCAGTGAGCCGAGATCATGCCAGTACGCTCCAGCCTGGACAATAGAGCAAAATTCCGTCTCAAAAACAAAAATAAGTATCAATCAATCAATCAATAAAAGCCCTTTGGATTGAAGTTTGCTCTCACTTTATAATGGTACCTCTGCCTGAACATCAAACACAGCATGTTCTCACTCATAGGCGGGTGCTGAACAATGAGAACACATGGACACGGGGAGGGGAGCACTGCACGCTGGGATTCGTTGGGGGGAAATGAGGGAGGGATGGGGGGGTGGGGAGGTGGGGAGAGAGAGCATGGGGAGAAATGACAGATATAGGTGAGGGGAAGGAAGGCGGCAAATCACACTGCCATGTGTGTGCCTATGCAACAATCTTGCATGTTCTTCACATGTACCCCCAAACCTAAAATGCAATAAAAAAAAATAGTACCTCTGCCTAAATTAAGATGTAATTTATCTCTTGATCCTTGAGGACATTGTTAATTTTGTAGCTCAGGAAAATTTGCAAGTAGCTCAGGGACAAGCATGGCTGGCTGACACCTATAATTACAGCACTTTGGGAGGCCGAGGTGGGAGAATCACTTGAGCCCCAGAGTTTGAGGCTGCAGTGAGCCATGATTACACCAATGCACTCCAGCATGGGTGAGAGTGAGACCCTGTCTCAAAAACAAAAAAACAAAGTATTTCAGAGTGATGAGGGTCACGGGGATAGGGATGTATTCAAGGTTTGTCCTCAATACCTTTCATATTATTCCATGTCTCTGTTTATTCTGTTGATACTTTGCCTTTTCTTCCACTCATCACCAGGTGCTCATTATGCTGTATGCCAGCAGCTATAATCGGCTCTACCCCTCCGCTCCTAAGTTTTAAATATTTCTTTCCTTGCATCACTACTGCTTCCCAAACATGTTTCTATGTTTACCTCATCATGCTGTAATTTGGTGGGCTAGTGGACTATCTCAGTGTCTCTATAACACCTCAGAATACCCCAAGTCTGGAGAAATACAGAACGAAGAACATAAAAATTGGGACACAGTCTTCTGAGTAAAGTGGATGGGTATTTGGAAAGGAAATGTTGTAAAGCTGACTTCAATCTCCAAAGCATATGAAAAAGTTAAACAATGCACTCTATAATGTCCTTTGATTTCACACAGTATCTCGTTATAACTTCAGGAATAAGCGTAGGGTCAGAATGGCACCCAGGCTGGAGTACAGTGGCGTGATCATAGTCCACTGCAGCCTTGAACTCCTGGGCTCAAGCAATCTTCTCGCTTCCGTCTTTTGAGTAGCTGAGACTTACAAGCATGAGCTACTGTGCCCAAGCCCTAAGCTATTTTATAAGTGTGAGTAACAGTCATTGCAAGTCAGATATGAGATGATATTTAACAGAGTTGAGACTTGGGTTCAGGAGAGGTGTGGGCAGTTGGAGAGGGGATGTAAAAGAAGACACATGCACAGACAGGAGTACTAAAAGAATGTGCTAGGTATCATAAGGGTGTACAAACAAAATGCTATGCAGATTACAGAGAACAAAGAATTATATTGAATGGAGAAATACATTTAAACTTCCAAATAATGGCTTTTCAGTGGTGGATTTTGGTGACCTTGATATGCAATAAAGGCACTTATTTAGACAGAGTGAATGGGGAGTTATTTTGATATTATTTCTCAAGTCACACTATTTAGAAAGTCACATATCCCGCCTATTGATAAGTCCTCTTTCAGTCATGAGAAGATAAACTAACATGTCAGAATAACAGGAATTTTCTTTCTTTCTTAAGATATTGTACAGTTGTCCAAAGATTTTGAATCTCAGCTGAGTCTATCTGGTGGGCCTCCCCTTAGCAGACCAGTGTACTCCAAGAAAGGTCTGGAACATAAAAAGGAACTCCAGCAACTCTTATTTTCAGGTAATTATGGTTTGTCTACTCAACACCAACCAGTTTCTATGTTAGGATAAAGGGAGATTAAACTATTATATTTATTTTGTAAAATCCTGAAAGTATGCTCTGCACACCCATGTGTAAGATGTGATGATGTTACAATCCTATTGGTGATAAGTGGTTTAGAAATGAAACCTCACCGACCCCACTAGCTTAAGCAGTATCACACATAGAATCCAGGAACATTGTTGGGAAAACTGGCTAGCAATGTGCAGAGAGCAGAAACTGGACCACTTCCTGACACCTTACACTAAAATGATCTCCAGATGGATTAAAGATCTAAACATAAGACCTGACATCATAAAAAAAATCCTAGAAGAAAAGCTAGGCAAAACCATTCAGGACATAGGCATAGGCAAGGACTTCATGACTAAAACACCAAAAGCAATGGCAACAGAATCCAAAACAGACAAATCGGATCTAATTAAACGTCAGAGCTTCTGTACAGCAAAAGAAACGATTATTAGAGCAAACTGGCAACTAACCGAATGGGAAAACATTTTTGCAATCTACCCATCAGACAAAGGGCTAATATCCAGAAACTACAAAGAACTAAAACAGATTTACAAGAAAAAGCAAACAAACCCGTTCAAAAGTGGGTGAAGGATATGAACAAACACTTTTCAAAAGAAGAGACATATAAGGCCAACAAACATATGAAAAAATGCTCATCATCACTGGTCATTAGAGAAGTGCACCTCAAAACCACATTGAGATATCATCTCACACCAGTTAGAATGGCGATCATTAAAAAATCAAGAGACAACAGATGCTGGAGAGGATGTTGAGAAATGATAACACTTTTACATGTTGGTGGGAGTGTAAATTAGTACAACCATTGTGGAAGACAGTGTGGCAATTTCTCAAGGACCCAGAACTAGAAATACCATTTGACCCAGCAATTCCATTACTGGGTATATACCCAAAGGATTATAAATCGTTCTATTATAAAGACACATGCACACGTATGTTCACTGTTTACAATAGCAAAGACATGGAACCCAAATGTCCCATCAATGATAGACTGGATGAAGAAAATGTGGCACATATACACCATGGAACACTATGCAGCCATAAAAAACCATGAGTTTGTGTCCTTCGTAAGGACATGGATGAATCTGGAAACCATCATTCTCAGCAAACTGACACAAGAACAGAAAACGAAACACCATATGTTCTCACTCATAGGCGGGTGTTGAACAATGAGAACACATGGACACAGGGAGGGGAGCATCAAACTCTGGGGTCAGTTGTAGGGGGCCAGGAGAGGGACAGCAGCGGGTGTGGAAGGTGGGGAGAGATAACTTGGGGAGAAATACCAGATAGAGGTGACGGGGGGATGGAGGCAGCAAACCACCTTGCCACGTATGTACCTATGCAACAATCCTGCATGATCTGCACATGTACCCCAGAATCTAAAGTACAATTAAAAAAAGACTATTTGGTCTTGTAGTTCCCAAATCTGGCTGATCATCAGTGTCTCTGGTCATTTATAAAAGGACGCATATCTGAATCCCTAGTCCACTCCTAACAAATGAAATATGTGGGGAGAGGGGTTTGTAATAGGCACTTTTATCAAACCACCCTCATGATTTTAGGCTCATTTAGATTGGAAACCTTTTATCTAGTCAAACTAGTCATACACTGCACCAGAGAGCAGCCAACAAACTGACTATTCCCTGCCAGATTTTCCAGGAAAGTGGTAGTTATAAATATGAGAAAAGAATGTAATCAAGGTCAAGATGGAAAACAAAAAAATAAAATAGAGATGGATTATGCTTTTCTTCTTGTTTTTTTTGGGGGGGTTTAGGACAATCATGTAGCACAAACAATAATTTAGGACCAAGGTCAGCGCCTTTTCTGTACTCTTATCCCTTGCTCCCGTGATAGGCTTTGCTGAGGAATCCATTGATGTCTTCTTTGTGGAATCCCAGAGAGGGAAAGCCACTTGCTTAAATCTGTGGCTACCCTAGTGTACCTGGAGTGGTGGCATTAATTGAACATCTATTCTGGTTCTTGTCATTACTGTTATGTAGAGTATCAAATAAATGAAAGAGACACTTTTTATCGTCACATAATTTCCTTCGGAAGCATGTTCCACTATACAATTAAAGAAAAAAAAAAGACCTATGCAATGATGAGGTAAATAAACATCAAGTGTTTTAGTGACTTTTACCATGTATCAGGCAGGAGTAGTCTGTGACTTGCGGGGCAGGGCAGAAACAATAGAGGATCTGATGTCCAAGAGACTTGGGTTTGGACGCTGGCTCTGCCATTTCCTAGTGGTGTGATATTGGGCAAATCACTTGATCTCTTCTATTTTTTATTTCTTGAGACATTATCTTGCTCTGTCACCCAGGATGGAGTGCAGTGGTGCAATCATAGCTCACTGCAGCCTTAAATTCCCCAGCTCAAGCAATCCTCCTGCCTCAGTCTCCTGAGTAGCTGGAATTACAGGCCCATAGCACTGCACCCAGCTCTCACTTGACCTCTTTCAATCCTTATTCACTCATATGAATATGGAGATAAATATGTCTTCCCTGGAAAATTTGTGAAGACCAGAGAGACGTGCAGATTTCCTGGTACAATCAACAAATGATCTATCTTCTTATTTTACATTCCTTTGGTTTCCAAAGCTTTGCTCAAATTATCCATTCTAAGATGTGTGTTTCCCCCATATTTTAACATCACTAAATTCTGGATGCATCTTAGAATAGATGCCGTCTCCTACTCACTGTCACCCAGGTTGCAGGCGTAATCAAGTTGTGTGAACACCTGGTACAAATGAGAAACATGAGCAGCAATGAACCATAAACAATTACCAATAAAATCTGGGTAATTTCTTTTGAAATTACACTACAAATATTGATTTGGGTTTGTACTCTTAACACTACCACAACAGGACAATTATCTTTTCCCCCCTTTGGAACCCATGATCATTGAAATAAGTGCATAACCCTCCAATGCAAGTATATTCTCATGCCACACAATTATTTCTTGTTTGCCTGTGACAAAGGGAAGAATTTTGTGACAGGGATGAGCCATACGTTGATCTCTAAGTGATGCAAGAATTCTGCTTCAGAAGAGATAGCTTTAAGGATCTCGCAGTCTAGGACTGCCGGAAATTCCCTGCCAATAAGGGCTTTAACATGACTCCCTCTTCTCTGCAAATATGGTATTAAGCAGTACCTTCTTCCTGGGGCGGGGGGCCTCCTGCTACTCCCGTCAGTGGACCACTTTGAGATTCAGGTATGTTCAAAGTAGAAAGGGGATGAGAACCAACATTTCCCAAGAAGCTACAATGAGCCAAACATTTTATGTTATTTGATTTCTTTCCCCCCATAGGAAATGTGCTATTCCTAGTTTTGTTTTACAGAGGAGACAACAAAGTCTTAGGTTAAGGAATTTCCCAAGGTTATAAGTTTTAAAAAACACATGGGTTTAGATGAAGTATACCAGATATTCCAGGGTTCTTTTCCTTTATGATTGTAATATAATAATATCCATAAAAGAATATTTGAAGCATCTGTAAGTCATCAAATTAATCAGTTAATTACAATTAGTCATCATCGTCCATAGGATTATTCCTCATCCCCTAATTTATCATTCTTTTCACATACAGTCCCACTGAGACATTTGCGATATACTCCAGAGTCCCTCTGGAAGGACCTAACCTCACAGCATGAAGGACTAGAGGAGTTAATAAATGAGCAGATGCAACCTTTCTTTCGGGGAATTTTGATCTTCTCTAGAAGCTGGGCCGTGGACCTGAACTTGCAGGAGAAGCCGGGAGTCATCTGTGATGCTCTGCTGATAGCACAGAACAGCACCCCCATTCTCTACACCATTCTCAGGGAGCAGGATACAGAGGGCCAGGACTACTGCACTCACACCGCCTTTACTTTGAAGCAGAACCTGGTGAACGTCGGGGGCTACACCGGGAAGGTACATGTCAGGGCTAAGGTCCTCTGCCTGAGTCCTGAGAGCAGCACAGAGGCTGTGGAGACGACAGTGTCTCCGATGCATTACCCGCCGTCCTATCGCCTGGCGGGCACCCAGCACATGGAAGCCCTGCTGCAGTCCCTTGTGATTGTCTTGCTCGGCTTCAGGTCTCTCTTGAGTGACCAGCTTGGCTGTGAGGTTTTAAATCTGCTCACAGCCCAGCAGTATGAGATCTTCTCCAAAAACCTCCGCAGGAACAGGGAATTGTTTGTCCATGGTTTGCCTGGCTCAGGGAAGACCATCATGGCCATGAAGATCATGGAGAAGATCAGGAATGTGTTTCACTGTGAGGAACAGAGAATTCTTTACGTTTGTGAGAACCAGCCTCTGAGGAACTTCATCAGGTAAGCAGTTGGATCTTGTATCTCTAAGTGTTATTTAATCTAGGTTTCATTTTTTCTGCTAAGCCTCCTTGCTCCTTGAGAATTAAGTGGTAAAATCATTTGTGACAACAGACTGTGTACAGGGGAGCATGATAGAGTCATTTTCTCCCCTTATTCAGTTAGAACAAACCTGAATGTGTCATTTTAATTTTTACAGTAATAGAAAGATCTGCCAAGCAGTGACTCGGAAAACATTCCTGAAAAATAACTTTGAGCACATTCAACACATCATCATTGACGAAGCTCAGAATTTCCGCACTGAAGATGGGGACTGGTATGGGAAGGCAAAAACCATCACTCAGAGAGCAAAGAATGGCCCAGGAATTCTCTGGATCTTTCTGGACTACTTTCAGACCAGCCACTTGGATCACAGTGGCCTTCTCCCTCTCTCAGAACAGTATCCAAGAGAAGAGCTCACTAGAATAGTTCGCAATGCAGATCCAATAGCCAAGTACTTACAAAAAGAAATGCAAGTAATTAGAAATAATCCTTCATTTAACATCCCTCCTGGGTCCCTTGAGGTACTTCTTGAAGCTGAATGGTCCCAGGGGGTTCAGGGAAACTTAAAAATTGAGAATCACTTTACTGTAGAGCAAATAGTGACCTATGTGGCAAACAAATGCAAGCACTTCTTTGAAAGGGGCTATTCTCCTAAGGATGTTGCTGTGCTTGTCAGCACCACAAGAGAAGTGGAGCGCTATAAGTATGAACTTTTGGAAGCACTGAGGAAGAAAAGGGCTGTGCAGCTCAGTGATGCCTGTGACATATTGAGTGATCACATCATGTTGGACAGTGTCCGGCGATTCTCAGGCCTGGAAAGGAACATAGTGTTTGGGATTCATCCAAGGACAGCTGAATTACCTCTCTTACACAATATTCTGGTCTGTCTGGCTTCCAGGGCAAAACAACATCTATATATTTTTCTGTGTGGAGACTGTTAAGAACTCCAAACCAAAATGAGATGAGGCAATTGCCATGTCATGTCTGTGGTTGACAGTCCGCGAATGGTGAAATGTCTTCCTTTTAGTTAACAGGTCAGCTAGAGACTTGGGTCAAGCTGACATACAGAGTTTGGAACTCCCTCATCTCAAACACTTCTTTCAGAGCTTCCTTCTTCAACTATTTCCAGTGGCTATGGTTGACCCCCTTTCTGTCCCCTGACTCTTCCAGCCGGAAAAACTGGTTTTCTTTTTTTTTTTTTCTTATTGCATTTTAGGTTTGGGGGTACGTGTGAACAACATGCAAGATTGTCGCATAGGTACACACACGGCAGTGCGATTTGCTGCCTTCCTCCCCATCACCTATATCTGGCATTTCTCCCCATGCTATCTCTCCCCAACTCCCCACCCCCCGCTGTCCCTCCCCTATTTCCCCCCGACAGACCCCAGTGTGTGATGCTCCCCTCCCTGTGTCCATGTGTTCTCATTGTGCAACACCCACCTATGAGTGAGAATGTGCGGTGTTTGATTTTCTGCTCTTGTGTCAGTTTGCTGAGAATGATGGTTTCCAGGCTCATCCATGTCCCTACTCATCATCACTGGTCATGAGAGAAATGCAAATCAAAGCCACATTGAGATACCATCTCACGCCAGTTAGAATGGCGATCATTAAAAAATCGGGAGACAACGGATGCTGGAGAGGATGTGAAGAAATAGGAACACTTTTACCCTGTTGGTGGGAGTGTAAATTAGCTCAACCATTGTGGAAGACAGTGTGGCGATTCCTCAAGGACATAGAAACAGAAATTCCATTTGACCCAGCCATCCCATGACTGGGTAAAGGATTATAAATCATTCTACTGTAAGGACACGTGCACACGAATGTTCATTGCAGCACTGTTTACAATAGCAAAGACCTGGAACCAACCCAAATGCCCATCGATGATAGACTGGACGGGGAAAGTGTGGCACAGATACACCGTGGAAAACAGTGGTTTTCTAAAGGAACTTAAGCTATCCTGCGCAACGTGGACCTCTGTCTTGCACTCTGGGTAAAAGCTATAGAAACAGGAAACTGATCCTGTGGCTTTTCTTTCTTCCAGGGCTGGACTTCTTTTTTAAAGTGACTTCATGTAGGTTATTGCTTTAAAAAATTTGTTCAGAATTGTTTTCTGCAGAAGCATGGTCTGTTAGGAGCTTACTGGCCATAGCACTAGCTATTGTTTCCTGAATTTGTGACACTTATCTTTGCTGCATTCATTTAGGGCTTGGGAGATTCCCAAGATAATTCAATAACTGTCAGATGAATAATTTTGTCAGAAAAAAGAATACTGTTATGATTACTTAAGCCTTTAAAATCGTGATCTCCAGAGCTTGTTTTCAGAATGGCCCAGGCCATGCCTTAATTGTGAACATTAATGGTCACTTTAAAGAGAAATTATAGGCCAAGATGAAATGAACATAAACCTGTTTGCCCTGGCTTTCAGTGGAAGATAATATTAGAGACCAAAATCTGATTCTAAAGGTGTGTATCAGCCCTGAGGTAAACCAAACTTGGGAAAGATTGTCTTTAGAAATCAATGAGTTCATGTTTTAACTTCTCAGCTTGGTTCTGCTCATTGCTCTGTAACACACCTAGTTAAGTTTTATGTCATTCTTGAACTATGATTTTTTTTTCTATTTGCTTTCATAGTTTGGTGAGCCATTGTTATGGACTGAATGTTTTTGTCCCACCCTCACCCTCACATCCCCATCTTGAAGCCCCAACTTGCAGTGTGGAGCTGGTACTGCTAAGGAAGTTATTAAAGTTACATGATGTCATGGTGGGTCTCTGATCTGCTGAGATTGGTGTTCTTCTAGGGAGAGACCCCAGAGAGCTTGTTCCCTCCCTCGCTGTGCACACAAACAGGAGGGCACGGGAGAGCACAGAGACATGACAGCCACCTACAAGCCAAGAGGAGAAGCCTCACAATGAAAGCCCTGCTGCTGGCACCTCTGTCTTGGACTTCCAGCCTCCAGACTGTGAGAAACAAATTTCTGTTGTTTCAGCCCGTCAGTCTCTGGTGTTTTGTTATTGCAGCCTGAGAACACAGCTGTATGATTACTTGTCAAACGAAAAACACTGATCCTTAACAATGCTAATGCAATTACTTATATGCTTTTCGGTCTCTACAAAACATTCTAAAACACTAATCTAAATACTAACAATAAAATGTTTGCATAACTAATGGAAATTAAGTCTATATGCCCAATATTTTACTTATTAGTAATCCTACTCTACTGATTTCCCCCCCCATGTTTTAAGTTTTGAACTTTTCTGCCTTTCTCTTGTCTTTCTGTGTTTACTCATGGAATTCCAGTTATCTCGCCGTGAAATTGTAGGTTTTCCTAACTTAAGCAGAATCTGACAGATGAGCAAAATAAAGAGAACAATGTTTCTGCTTTCTGACTGCATTAAATCAGAGACAACTCAGCATTAAAAAGCTGTTTTTGTAAGTCATGTTCCTAATAAATGAGTCTTTAAGATCCCTGGCCTTTGGAGTTCTTACAATGTCTTTGAGAGTAATTCTTTAAAAGCCTAATTTGACTGGTTGTATCTCTTTATGATGTATTGCCCTACTAATAATATTTGAAACAATATTTTAAAATGGGTACTTAGGAATTTTTGTTTAGAACAAAGAGGATTGCAGATATTTATTTCTGTTTCCATATGAATGGTGAAAGGTTTAGCTTACAGACCTACTGCATTTTGGTTTTAAATAAAAAATTGAGTGTTTATGTCTCATTAAACTGAAAAAAAAATAGTCCTGTAAAATAAATGATTAAATGGGGGGAAAGGAGAAAACAGAGGCCAGTAACTCCATGAGAGGGCCAGCATGAGCCAGTAAAAGGTTAATCAACATTAACTTTCAAATTTTTTAAAGAGATAAGAGCTCACTATGTTGCCCAGGTTAGAATGCAGTGGTGCAATCATAGCTCATTATAGCCTCGAACTCCTGGGCTCAAGTGACCCTCCTGCCTCAGCCTCCCAAATCTTTAGGATTATAGGTGTGAGCCACTGCACCAGGCTCAATTGGATTTGGATGGGTGCCTGCTTGTCTCTGCACTCTGGTTCTAGAAATCTGGGACCCTACTTCATTAAAGATCTGAAAGTCTACCAGCCATTGTAAAATTAAACAAAATGTTTTCATATTTTAAATTAACCTTTTTTTTTAGAGTAGTTGTCGAGTTACAAAAAAGTTACAAAGACATTTTTTTTTCTTTTTTTTCTTTTTTTTTTTTTTTTTTTTTTTTTTTTTTTTTTTTTGAGACAAAGTTTTGCTCTGTCACCCAGGCTGGAGTACAGTTGTGCGATCGCTGCTCACTGCAGCCTTTAACTCTTGGACTCCAGTGATCCTCTCACCTCAACTAGCTGAGAAGCTGGAACTGCAGGTGCATGCCACTACACCTGGCTTTTTTTTTTTTTTTTTTTTTTTTTTTTTTGAGATGGAGTTTCGCTCTTGTTACCCAGGCTGGAGTGCAATGGCGCGATCTCGGCTCACCGCAACCTCCGCCTCCTGGGTTCAGGCAATTCTCCTGCCTCAGCCTCCCGAGTAGCTGGGATTACAGGCACGCGCCACCATGCCCAGCTAAATTTTTTGTGTTTTTAGTAGAGGCGGGGTTTCACCATGTTGACCAGGATGGTCTCGATCTCTTGACCTCGTGATCCACCCGCCTCAGCCTCCCAAAGTGCTGGGATTACAGGCTTGAGCCACCGAGCCCGGCCTAATTTTTTAAATTATTTTTTGTAGAGAACGGGGTCTTATTATGTTGCCCAGGATGGTCTCAAATTCCCAGATTCAGCTCATCCCCCTGCCTGGGCTTCCTGCAGTGCTGGGATTACAAGTGTGAGCTATTGTAGTGGCTAGTTCCCTCTTTTATTACTGTATTGTTGTGATTCACTCATCACAACTAAGGAACCAACCTTAATTAGTACATGACTATTAATTAAACTCCACATTTCATTTGGATTTTCTAGTTTGCCTCTTTTTTCTATTCCAGGATCACATCCAGGACACCATACTACATTTAGTGGTCATGTTTCCTTAGATGCTTTATTTTTGATGACCTGGACAGTTCTGAGGAGTACTGGTATTTTGATAGACATTGCATTGAATCTGTAGATTGCTTTGTGCAATATGGTCACATAAGTGACATGAATTCTTCTGATCCATGAGCATAAGATGTTTTTCCATTTGTTTGTGTCATCTACAGCTTCTTTAAGCAGTGTTTTTTGGTTTTCCTTGTAAAGATCTTTTACTTCCTTAAAGATATTCCTGGGTATTTTATTTTATTTTACTTTTTTTTGTAGCTATTATAAATGAGATTGCCTTCTTGATTAGGTTACCTGCTTGATCATTATTAGTATATAGAAATGCTAATAACTTTGTACATGGATTTTGTATTCTGAAATTTTACTGAATTCATGGATCCTATCTAGAGCTTTTTGGAGATGTCTTTAGCAATTTGTAGATAGAAGATCAAAGTGTCAGTGAATAGAGATAATTTGACTTCTTTTCCAACTTGGATACGTTCTATTTCTTTCTCTTGCCTGATTGCTCTGACTAGGAGTTCAGTACCATGTTGAATAGGAATAGTGAGAATGGACATCTTTGTCTTGTTCCAGTTTTTAGACAGAATGCTTGTAACTTTTTTCTGTTCAGTATGATGTTGGCTGTGGGTTTGTTGTACATGGTCCTTTACTATTTTAAGGTAGTTATTGCTAAGTTTGTTGAGGATTTTTATCATGAAAGGATGCTGACTTTTATCAAATGCTTTTTCTGCATCTCAGGAGATGATTCATGAAGGATTTTTGTATCACTGCCTGGCAGATGTTTTTCATTCTGTTAAAATGAGGTCAAGCCATGTTTTCCCAGTTAACAAAGAAGGAAATTTAAACACTAAACTGCAATGTGAGAATATGTAACATTACTTTTACCAATGAAACCAGAAAGAACCCCTCTCTAAGTTATTTAGGAAAAGAAAATGGAGAGCAAATAAGTATTATTTGCTATCACCACAGTCAGATTGCTTTCCTAACAAATTTACTCCAAGGCAAACTTCCTCAAATACCAAGAATGTTGCCACAATAAAGCACATTCTTGATATTTTCCATGATCTTCATAGTCACAACTACCTCAGGTAAGCCAATTCTTAATTGGTCTTGAAGCAACTCTTTAAAGGCAATTCATACTGTTTACTTATGGGTAGATTTATACCTCAGATCCAAACTGGCTA